AACATTATAGAAATATTTTTTTCAATAAAAAACTATAAAATTTGTAAACTGTACAATATAATATATATTTATGCTGTTTGATGATTTTTCTATAAATAAATAGTAAATAAAAAAATTAAAAAGCAAATATTCAAATAACTACAGTTTTACATAGTTTTTCTGTAAACTATGCAATCATTTTAAAATCGTAAATTTTTTCAAGTCACAAAGAATCATTCTTTAGCTGCTTATTGATGAAGGCCGTATCTTATGCTGACAAGTAGCTGGTAGGTCTACATTTTTTCTTCATTCCTGGAAACTGAAAAAGACACACAAATATTGGATGTAGAAAACATAACTTCAGAATAAACTGGCCTGTCTGACAACTTCATAAGGGCTGTATCGTGCTCAAACATTGCATTACTGTTTCTGTCATTAGCAAGTTTACATTATCATTATTTATTAAATAATTTGCAGTTTAACTAGTCAAGAATCAATTAAAAGAGCAGATTTTTACTGGTTTAATATCAATAAATACTATATTTGACAACATATAATTGATTAAAATGTTAAACATGAAAATTGAAGCTTTTTGAATGTTAGCAGGCAGCTTTTACAGTTCAAATAGTTATTTTTTMGTTAAATATGTGAATTATTTACCCATGAAACATAACTCCTTTTGCTTCTGTAAACTTGTCATAATTTTTGCAGTTTATCGCAAAGTATTTGTGCCATTTATACATTTATTACATGTTTGATTGCGTTGTGCTATGTTCTAATCACTGATATCCGTTGTTAGCATTAGCATTAGCTCAATGCATAAAATTTCTCCTGGRTTGCGAAGAATGTCCGGTGACGCTCGATCCAGTAATATAGATCATTGCTTGAGCTGACAGGTTTAATGTAACAAAAAGATCATTTCAGAAGCAGACTGAACATGTTTGTATCTGAGCTGTTAACAAACCACAGCCGTGCACACGAGGTGAGAAGAGTTAAGTCAACAAGAGAATTTCCACCGAACTTCACCCAGGATCATGTAGTGTCAGCCTGCATGAACACACACGTACGCACACACCGAGCTGCTTTATGACCAATAATTACATTAGCAGTGATCGTCTCTGTGCACGTCTCTGAATGGTAATTTGATCTACAGCCAGTGGAGACACTAATAGCTTTTATGTCACTGATTAGTAAACAGGAGGAGCTCTGAGTGACTGCACTCTCCACCCTGATAACACACATCAGCGCTCCACACGTTCTTCTTCAGATCTGTATTTTAACACAAGTCATGCTCTCATCAGCTCTGTCAACGCTCACTGAGGGAAAAAAAAGGTTTAACATAATCGTATAAAATCACCACGTTAGACTGCTGAACAAAAAGAAAATAATGTGCACAGCCAAGACTACAGCTTTACTAGCCGAGCACAGAATTTGATTTTAAAAAATGGACACCTAAAACCAGAGGTTTATAAAGTACTTAAAAGAAACAAGTAAAASTAAAAATACCTCAACAGACTTTGGTAAAAAAATATATTTACTTGATAAGATAAGTACTCAAGTGAAAGTCATAAAACAGCTAACAATATGAAGTGTTGAATTGTATTTAACCAAAGTGGTTCCACTGAACCCAGCTGAGTTACTTGCTTTATTTATTCAACTCAATTTAGTGAAACCAGTTGACTTTGTTAAATAAATCCAACACTTATTTTTTTTTAGAATGCATGTTGAGTTTGGTCATATTTATTTTGTAATGTGTACCTCTAAAGGTAGAGAGCGGAGCAACAAGCCAGTGTATATGTTTGGTTACATATTTGTACCTTGATGGCTGACTTTGTTTTTATTATTGATCATATTTCTAAAAGCCAAAAATTATTTTATTAATTATTGTATTATGTATTACTGCCCCATGACACTCAGCCGGGGTAAAGTCCAGTGTCCTACATGTCCTGCAGATTCAAAAAAAGATCTGAATAATTATGAGGCAATTGATGAAAAGAGGTTTTTCATCTGTTTGAGATGATACTTTGTCCCTGATGTTAAACATAGCTGTGGTTGCCTGAAAAAGAGATTTATTTAAAGTCTCTTTGCCTGGAAAAGTTCCCCCCACAAAAAAATAAATAAATAAATGAAAAGAGCCAATAAGTGTCTCAGAGTTCATTCTTCACAGACTGGAAAATGAGCCTCTGTTATGTTTCAAAAAGAGAACAAATATGTGACAACCCTCTTGAGTAAGATTGTGTTCTAGGAATGTGGAATTTATTATAAATAAACAAACTTCAACAATATTAAATTCTGTGGGTTTGACTGTGAAATTTAAAGTTCAGAGAGGCTGGGTCAGGAGGAGTTTGCCTCAAGTGGAGGGGTTTAAGTATCTGGGTGTATTGTTCCTGAGTGATGGAGCGGGAGATGGATCAATGGATTGGGGCCTRATCCTCAGTAATGAGGGTGTTGCTTTGGTTGGTCATGGTGAAGAAAGAAATGAGTCGAAAAGCGAAGCTCTGGATTTACTGTCTGTCTACGTTCCAACCCTCACCTATGYTSAMG